GATGGACATCATTTGAGGGCAGGGAAGCTAGCAGCAAGATAAAATTCGAGAAGCGATTGAGAGAAATGAAGGAGGAGCGTTGGGCTAGGAAGGTTTTCAGCTACTTGTACATGAAGAATGTCGATACAAAATGGAGGAAGCGAACCAGGAAGTTGACTGGTAAATACTTAGAAAACTGCAGGTGGCCAAACCAAAAAGAACTATTGGTTAAGAAGAAAGTGAAGGAAACGGAGACTGACATGTGGAAAATGGGCATGTTTAAGAAGTCCGCACTAGAGATCTTTCGAACTTTTAAGCAGGAAATTGCCAAGGAAAGGATCTAAGATAATACTCGGGGTAGTTCTCTACTGTTTGAGGCAAGGACGGGAGTACTGCGAACCAAGACATATCGGGCCAAACAGGAAGGGGTAGACACAGTATGCAGTGCGTGTGGAGAGGAAGAAGAAACTGCCGAATACTTGATAATGTTCTTTAAAGGGCTTCACCCTATAGTTCAGGATGATGGCGCAGAGTTTTTCAAAGCACTGTGGTTTAGGGACCGGGAGGGCAAAATAGACTTTAAGCGGGTAGAATTAACTAGAAGGAGGTTATCTGATTGGTGGCTAAAGTCAAGGCACGAGTGAAAATGAAACTCTTCACTGCAAAGTACGAATCCTCAAACTCACTTTTTAAGGAAAAAAATAAATATAGTTTTGGGTTCATTGAGTATTACCGCTTGGTGGCGCTAGCCACCACCCGATCTAAAGGGTACAGCCATCACTGTCGAAATTTGGGCTTGTTGGTGCATTGTGACGACAGAAAATAGCGCAAAGAAACGGGGACACAAGACGAGGACACACGGCACAGGCGCTAGCCGTGTGCCTGTGCCGTGTGTCCTCGTCTTGTGTCCCTGTTTCTTTGCGCTATTTTCTGTCGGTACAGCCATATCCATCCATCCATCATCACGGCAGCAAGCGGTACCAGCTAAGCGTTTTTCATCTGCGGCTCATAGCCCATAGGGACGCGTCAGTTGAGGAGAGTTGTTCGAGACCTACAATTGTGCACCACTGTTTCGGAGGCTATGCAAAGTGTTGCATTGTTGCACCGTCCGCCACAGGTGACGCTAGCGACCGAGAACATTTTCAAAATGAAAGAGGGAAAGGGGGTGGCAGCTGTTTTTTTTTCTCATGCGGCAGGTGTCTTCCTAGAGGAGGCATTGCTACTACAAAGAAAACTTGCCTTCAAAGAAAACTTGCGGTAGGTTACCCTACTGGCGGTGCAAGCACAAGAGGTACAAAGCACCCGAATTCCGAGATAAGCGCGCGTGCGAGTGAGCCACCATGCTATATAGAGAACATCTATGTTCACTTTGATCACGTCATGGGGAGGCGCGTGCGCACAGCGATGCATGGGGTGGCGTGGCACGACGAGCGCGCGCACCCATAACGGGCGCCCGTCGTGCCATCTCGCTACTGATTACTAAAACGCACTGAAGTTTCCGAGCTCGCTAGCGGTACATGGTGTGCATAAATCGCTTGCCGTTAACGAGTTACACAAGGGTCGCTCTGTGGTCAAGAGGCTAGCGTAGTGCGCTGAGGAGCGTGAGGTCGTAGCTTCGGCGCCCCGCTACGGAACTTTTTCTTCTCGTTTTTTTTTTCTTTGTAATCGTGTTAGTATGTATTTTACAACGTCATATCCGCGACGGAACTGCGTCACGAAGCCGTCGTGGACCCCGGCATAAAGCATTTTCTCGTTAAAACAATATACCCGGCACTCGAGAGCCACAAATGTTTACAATAATTATATACTTTCGGAACAGTGTTAAAAGTAAAACTAAATGTGAAAGATATGCTAAGAATAATAATTATTATAATATATGCTGAGGTTTTACGTCTCGCAAGCACAATATGATTATGAAAGACGCCGTAGTGGAAAGCTCCAGAAATTTCGACTTTCTGGTGTTTTTACCGTGTACTGGCACCGCATAGTACTGACACAGGCCTCTACCATTTCGCCTACACTGAAATGCGACCCCCGCGACAGATATCGAACCCGCGACTTTCGGTGTCAGCAGTTGAGCACCGTAACAACTGCACTACCGAGACAGACCAGATAGTACTCAGAAAAAAAAAACGAAAGATAAAGTTAATCGTATGACTAAAAGCGACGCGTTGCTCGCTGATGAGCATAAATCGGCAATAAAATAAAATAAATAAAGTAAAGCTCACTCAGATTCACCCACGAAAGATATATCGCTCTTTGGGTTCACTTGGGTTCAAACTCCCTAAAACTTTTTCTCAACTGGACTCACTCGGACCAAATCTAGCCAATATTTTTCTCAGTAAAAATCACTCTCACTCAAACTCACGAATGGCAAAGTCAGTAGGACTTAGTCGACTCATCAGTGGGCTTGTCTACCTTTGCTAATAAGTGAAAAGAAAAGGAAAAACGTAGCTCGAGCACAGAAGCAAGCAATAATGAATAGGCTGCAAAAACATGCTTCCAAAGCAGTGCTCCAAGTGAGAAATGCGGCATAAGTGCTAATATTACTACGTATGTACATTTGAAAGTTCTTGCCTACCATGAATAAGGTGGAGCTCACGCTGATGCCATCTTGCCAATTAGTTCTGATCGAGGCACCAGACGACGCCACAACACCTGACGACAACACCGCATACAAAAGCAATGTATGCGGTGTTGTTTGCTTGGAAGACCAATAGAAAACTCGGTTCGCATATATCGTTGGCTTCATATGCTCTAGGGAACAGTTTTATTTTACAGCGACAGCTGTTATGAGATTACAACTCGGGTCACGTGCCAGCGTAGTTGTCCGCCGCCGCCGCCGGTGTCCGTAACCACATCGCACGAAATAAAAAAAAATGGCAGCATATCCACGGAGTGAATGATGGAGAGTGGGGCGAAGAATTCGTCCGTCCATTCGTTCTTGCTTCCGTCCGTCCATGCGTCCGTCAGTGTGACCGTCCATGCGTCCATCAGCCCGTCCGTGCGTGCGTCTGTTCGTGCGTTCGTCCATGCAGCCGCCCCTGCGTCCGTTCATTCGTCCATCCATGCATCTGTCTATGTGTCCGTTCGTCCATCTATTCAACACTCCAAGTACCACCACCTCGCATCTTTTCATCATATATTCCCCATATAGAAGCACCGCCATCCAGCGGACATTCCAAGGACTAAACGAGAGGTGGCACACGCACACTTTCTTACGGCTTGCGCTTCGGGTCTACTTCCCACCTTTAACCACCTCGAGTTGATGGTATATACTAGTTCACTGTATTCATGGCACTGCGGCCGAACGCTCGCTAAACCTTTCGAAAACCAAGGAGGTTACGCCCAGCGACTATGACGTAGCAAACTTTTTCAGTCAGATAGTGCTCAATGTACATGCCAATGGCTGCTAATGGGAAATGAGAGGCGGAGAATTCGGCTTTTACTTTCTTACGGCTTGCGCTTGGTATCTACTTCCCATTTTTAACCACCTCGAGTTCATTCATGGTATATACAAGTTCATTGTATTCATGACACTGCGGCTCAACGCTCGCTAAACCTTTCTAAAGCTAAGGAGGTTACACCCAGCGAGTATAACGAAGCAACCCTTTCTTGTCAGATAGTGCTCAATGTACATGCCAATGACTGCTAATGGTGATCGCAGCCTGTGCGTTAACTAAAAGCCGAATACCCCTGGCTCTCATTCTCCATTAGCAGCCATTGACATGTATATTGAGCACTATTTTTTATTGTTCAACAACGCACAGAAGAAGTCTCACACTGACACCACCTTGGAGGTCAAAATGTTATACCTGTTACATACTACGGCGCACGAACGGGTGCCGCTATAAGAAGCTTCGCCCCTAAAACCCTAGCGCCAATGACACAGTGGGGCTCGAACCTGCGTCTGCTGGGCCCCGGCCCAGCATTCTACCACTGAGTCACGGCGGTGCTTGGGACTAGCTGGCAAAGTTTCAGTGCACTTATTTTTGATACACGAATTCTGTAAAGAGAGCCTGCGCACACGCATTTTAGGGGCGAAGCTCCTTAAAGCAGCACCCGTTCGTCCCTCGTGGTAGTCGTAGTCGTAGTCGTAGTGTGTAACCAGTCTTACGTTTTTACCTGCAAGGTGGTGCCGGTGGGAGATTTCTCCTGTGCGTTGTTGAACAATAAAAAAGTCGCAGCGTGCGTTAACTAAAAGCCAAATTCTCCTGTCTCTCGTTCTCCATTAGCAGCCATTGGCATGTACATTGAAGCACTATCTGACCAGAAAGGGTTGCTACGTTATACTCGTTGGGCGTAACCTCCTCGGTTTTAGAAAGGTTTAGCGAGCGTTGAGCCGCAGTGCCATGAATACAGTGAACTAGTATATACCATGAACTCGAGGTGGTTAAAGGTGGGAAGTAGATACGAAGCGCAAGTCGTAATAAAGTGTGCGTGTGCCACCTCTCGTTTAGGTCCTTGGAATGTCCGCCGCTGGATGCCGGTGCTTCTATATGGGGAATATATGATGAAAAGATGCGACATGGTGGTACTTGGAGTGTTGAATAGATGGACGAACGGACACACCGACAGATGCATGGACGGACGCACGGATGGCTGCACAGACGGATGGATGCAAGGGCGGATGCATGGACGAACACAGAGACGGACGCACAGATGGACAGACGCACGCACTGACGGGTGGATGGACGCACGGACGGTCACACAGACGGACGCACGGACGGACGGATGCAAGAACGAATGGACGGGCGGATGCTTCGCCCCACTCTCGATCACTCCTTCCGTGGATATGCTGCCATTTTTTTTTGCCAACCTAACCTTGTAACGCTTAGCGTTAACACTGATGCACATGGTGGTGGTCGAAAGGTCTGCCATGAATACTCGGACGTGTCCGTCTAGGAGGCCTCCATGTCTCGCATCGCAGAGCTCGCACGCAGGGCTGTGGAGGCAGCTCGCACGCAGCTGTTAGCCTCCTCTCCTCGCCACGACAGCGCGTGCCCAGAGCAGCAGCAGCAGCAAGCAACTTTCGCAGCTGGCAGCTGCGTCTTGGAAGAAACGCCACCGCCAACAAGTGCTCCGCCCGCAGGCCGACGTTGTCTTTATCCCCGCAGAGAGCGACGACGAATCTGCCGACATTATCGCCGCGTCGGCTGAATGGAAGCGAAGACGTGAGTTCTTGCGCGCGCTGATCTTCGAGCTCGCCTCCAACGCACTTCTACACTGCGATCACAGCCATCTCCACCCTGCGAGTGAGCGTCAGTGTGCGGTAAGCGTACGTACTGTTCTTTCACGGTCTTTCTACGCTTCCCCCCATGGTGGTCTTGTTATCATACTCGACTGCTGCCCCGTAGTTCACGGGGTTTAATCGCGTTGGGCGCACTTTTCGGTGGAGGTGAGACTGTTTGAAGTTCGTACACTTAGATTTAGGTGCCATATTCGTTAAAGAACGCCATACAGATGGACAAAATTTCCTCACCTTTTCATGGCGGCGTCCCTCATAATTATCGGGACAATAAGCTCCAATGCTCATTACCTATGTGCTTCGCGGTTTAATCACAGGGACCCGCGTTCGTTCGTAGAAAAAAAGCTTGAATAGCGTGCTTACAATTGCTGCTCCGGAGAGCCCTGAATTTCAACCTGCCTACTTCTTGTCGCACGAGCTAGCTTTTTAAATCATTAGGTAAAGATGTTGAGAGAACTATTTAGTACGCAACATCCCTTCTTCATGTGCAGACCTACTATATCCGACCGTTGCTTCAGAACTTTGGCTCGCCACGTGATGATCAGAACAACCGTGTGAGTGCCAGTCGGTGAACGAAAGTCCCTCGCGGGAGAAGCAATGGCGGACCTTCGGTTGTCTCCCTTCAAAGCGCGAGTAGAGGAATCGTTTATAGCTGTACGCCCAACCGCCGATACTTTGCGGAAATCGTCAAAACGTTCATGTACAATATATTATCATCGAGAGAACAGGTAAACGTAATATTTTTCCTATTTCTGCGAGATAGGGCCCCGTTCGTAAACGAGGCTTGCTGCGCCGTATCGCGAACAGCACTGTACAGGTGGCGCTGTGCATCAGCACAGTATGATGCACTGGCCGCATTAATCTTTTAATAAGCCAACCTTCAAGGGAAGCTGATGAGAATACCTGAGGTGTATGACTTGTATTATGTATAGAGGAGCGCACGGCTGTTGCGCAAGAAAGGGCGAGCCTTTATGAACTTTAAAAGTATTCTCTTTCTTCGAGAACGTTCTCTCTCTCTCTCTCTCTCTCTCTCTCATACGTATATGCATGAAAGCCATCATACGCGGAGATGGTGCAAACGTGCGAAAAATACCATTCATTTCGACCTTATATTTGAGTCGGAGAGGCGGCAGTTTTTTTTTTGTGTGTGTGTGTGTGTGTGTGTGTGTGTGTGTGTGTGTGTGTGTGTGTGTGTGTGTGTGTGTGTGTGTGTGTGTGTGTGTGTGTGTGTGTGTGTGTGTGTGTGTGTGTGTGTGTGTGTGTGTGTGGCGGATAAAGAGACAGAAGCCGGTCCTCTGCCGATGCGTGTGTGTGTTGTTATGAATGTCAAACATAACTTCGCTGTTATGAATGTTAGAAAACAGTCCAGTCAACACTACACATTCAGCAGGTAGATGTCACTGCATCAGGAAAGAAAAGCAGAAGTCTCTGCAAGAAGCTGGCAGAAAAGCGAAATGGGGGATCACATGCATACGCTAGCTTTTGTTTCATGCCTTCGCTATTTTATGTTATCCTGTCTTCACTGTGTGCGTTACTTACGAGTACACCTCATTTTTTTTTCAGTCAAATCATATAACGTGGCTTACTGAATATTTTATATTTTTCACACCTTTACAAAAAACGTTATTTCTCTTTTTTTTCTGTTTTGTTCAGTGTAGGAAGACAGACGCCTGACTAACACTGGTGTTTCTTCGTAAGAAAAAAAAAAGAAAACTTAAGGTATCTTCACACTGATAGTACCAATGCTGAAGGAATGGTGAAGCATGGTGGCTTTCCTTAGCATACTAGCCAAGCCTAGCTTGGCGATAGCTGCAGTTGAGCCAAGATATAGTCTCCGAACTTTAACTCCGTGGCATAGAGAAAATAACACATTTGCTTTGTTGATATGTATATTCGAGAAAGTGTTGCTGTTGGTGGTCTGACGAAGTTGACTGCCAGTATAAATAAGGTTTCAAAAAAAAAGGAGGTCCCGGACACGCGAACCCAAGACATGCCTCCACTTACTATCCTCGATTAGTGTTATACTTTTCAGTGTTTTTGTCGCTGTAGGAGTACATACAACTGCAGAGTAAGGACAGAAGAGACGAGGTGTATCGTACCAACGTTACTAGATTCTAGTGACGTTGTATCGTACAGTGCTTTCAACAAAAACTGGCCCACCGCAGTGCACTTCGCTACTGATCATTACAATGTGCTTGTCTAAATTGATAAACTACTTTTCTTATCCCCGGACGAACTTTCGGTCGACGTTCTATCTAAACACATCCGATGACATTCGTTGGAAGCGACAACAGATTTCTTCTTGTTTCTCCCGCTCCCCGTTATCTTATCTTGGTGCTTATCTAGTATTAATGCATTATGATCCTCCGCGCAGTGCGGACAGGTTTGAAGTTTGTGTCAGCCAACAAACAACGAGCTCCGTCTTCGAGTTGTAAAAAAGAAAGCGTTGGTTTGTTAATGGGGCGTCATTAAACTTATCGTGAAGTTTCCATCCAGTCGACGTCGCGCATATAGGGCTATCAAAGGCGTATGATGGCGGTGTCCTTTTCACGGGCGGAGGAGACTAAAATAGCCCTCGCTCCAGTACATGGAATTCGGAGCGACGGAGTCTTCGAAATTCTGAGTGTGCCTCAATGCTCTACACAACTACAGTCTGGCATAGCCAATGAAATGCAGCTTAACTGATTTCATGGCAACCCTTTAGTCTAGTAGAGGATCGGCGCAGAACTGTATTGCTCATGCATAGTGTACCAACACGCGTGGCTGTTGAGCTCTTGGGGGAGGTGATAAAAACATTATATTTAGCCCATAATGACAGCCTATTGGTGGGCCGGCTCGATGTCGCGTAGTGTGGCCGGGAGCTTGTAGCTCTCAGCGGCTCTTAGAGCACAGCCCACCAGCTGCTTTTCCTGCACCCTCAATGGGCCAACTTCACGTTTAATAACAGTAGAACGACGTGAAAACGACACGGAACAAAGCATTATTCAGCTATTTTAATGAATGAGTGCCGTAAGAGACGTTAGCAATTTTTTTTTCTTGACGGAAGCATTGAAATCAATCTGGGACATGGGTCTCGCAACGTATTGGTACACAGCTAAAAAAAATAAAATCTTCCATTTATGAGAGGCCTAGGCACGGCTAAACCTGCTGGTTTCTTATAATAAAGTTTATTCCTCCTCCTCCTCATGGTTCAAGGAGGTTAGTAAAGAAACGTCTAATCTATTTATTTATTTATTTAGTTCGTTAGTTAGTTCGTTAGTTAGTTCGTTAGTTAGTTAGGTAGCTAGTTAGGTAGTTAGTTAGGTAGTTAGTTAGTTAGTTTGTTAGTTAGTTTGTTTGTTTGTGTGTTTGTTGTTTATTTGTACATACTGCAGCCAAAGATATATAGCGGGAGCAGAAAAAAGGAAATCTTTTTACAGATACATTACAACATCGCAGAGGTAGTAATATTTTTTCTAAAGGGCATTCGCGTACATTACCGCGTAAAACATTTCAACTCTGAATTGTATGAGGGAAAAAAGTGTACAAAAACAAGTCTGAGCGGAAATAACACGGAATGATGCATTTTGCGGCAACACAAGGACGAGCGCTATGTTTTCGGAATATAAATTTGTGGTTATTCACAATGCCCACGAACTATAGCCGGTGCGCTATACTATTCAAGATGGCGTTCGGAGGACGGTCAACCAATTTGTTAGCATATGAACAGGTAGAACGTACAGACCGTGTCACTTGCACTGACTAAAGCCATTTACTGCACTGAAATTTATATGAAACCAAGGTACTTTCCGAAACCATCGGTAGCTCGGCACCAGGATATTTGTCGTGGCATAAAAGGTTATATTTCAGCTCCATTACCGAGCATAAGCGATGCTTTGCGAAAGCCTGTGCGTGATGCAGAAAACCTCGTGAACTAGAATTGGTGTAAGTACTGAACGGCTCTTCGAGGTAGCATTTACCGAGCCTGTCTGACGGAGTCTGCCACAAAAGTAGGCTGTTAGCGAGTATACCGTGATTGGTGCTGCACGAGAGTTAATGTTTAACGTGATGATAGTTCGTGAACACACTGCGCCGTCTTCATTACCTGCGTAGTCAGTAACGGGGAGTTGCTTCTTCAACGGAACACAAGCATTTAACATCCCATTGAGTAGCGCATCTTTCACAGCCATGCGGAGAGTCTAGTCATGCGGGATTCACTGCACTCGGATGTTGGAGGTTCCATCAGCCCGATCGAAACATGAATATCGAAAAGAATACACACATGTGCATTTCACGACGTCGGAATCGTTGAAATTTGTCGAACAGTAATGCCCTTCGGAAGGTGCTGGTAATACATGGTAAGTTAGAACAGAGGCGTTGAGTGTAATCCTATCTGCATGTTTCATCGGTATAACCATTTCGCTTCGCTGTTCGAGCTCGAGGATGTTGGCGGCATGTGGCTTTCCATGATATCCACAGTAATATTGCGGTACATTTAATGTACAAGAAAAACTATGCTGTTATTATGACCTCGCTGAAGAATATAATACATTAAATACAATCGAAGGGGCTTATGAGCTTGAAAAAAAAAAACATTAACGCATGAGGAGACGGGAAGTGCGACTCGCTGACTGTGAGTTAGCAGCTGATCGTCCATCTTCGCTGTCACTCTCGTAGCGTTCACAGGCATCCACGTCCAGTAAAAAATCCTCGTCGTCGAAATGGTTTATTTAAACATACTTGTTGAAAGCAATCTGAGGAGTTCCGTCCGCTGAATCACTTCGACAAAGCCAACAACACCGTATTCGTATCACCACATTTATGTGGACGTGGTAAAGAATTCGCCAATTTCGCTCTGAGACTCGTCAACAGGCAAATAGCTTTCAATGTGCTGCCATCTATCAACAAACGTACAGAAGCAAGCTGCGCATGCTGGCCACTTTGAGATTAGAAATCATGAACCCACGCGACTTTTCGCGTACAATGTTATGCAATCCATAAACTACACACGCACTTACGAATGCTATAGGCAAGTAAAACAAGGT